AAGGTTTGACGCGGTATGAAGCTGCTTAAAATAATCAGAATTTGGAGAAACAAGATAAAAATCTGTAAAAATTTGGTCTTTAAAAAGACCTTTTCAGCTGCGATTATCAGGTAGATCGGTAGTTATCTCCTAAATTATTTTTTAACAGCCATATAGCTTATTGTTAACTGTCAACATTTTACCTAAAAATAAGACTAACAACAGAGAAATAGCTTTGAAAACGAGATCTTAGACCGTTCAAGAACCGTAACTTTCTCACTTATTTCAGTCTGAAAAGGTGAAAAGCGCTAATTGTAAGTGGAAAAAAATTTGTCAAAAAATTGGCTCAATATAATCAATAGATTTTTATAACGGTTCTTTCAGCAAGAGACGTATTCATATTTTTCAAAAGTGAAAAATATTATGAGAAAAGATAGATAAAATCAAATCCAAATTTTTGGTCAGCAAAATTTGACATGAAAATTACTTGTCTTCAAACTTCAGGAATCGTTTATTATAGATTGTAACAAACAAAAGTTAGAATAAAAATTTTTATTTTTTCTATTTTATTCTCAATTTTACTTGATTACTTCTTAGAACTGTTGTTGCGGCCTTATCGTTATTTACCTTTCACCTGCAAAATTCATATCCCTAAAGTTTTTCAAAATTTTTAATTTACTGAATGCTTTGCATACTACATAAAAATTTTTTTAACAATAATTATTTAGACTGGCGCTCGTGAGTCATTTTTTCTCAAGCTACAATTTATGCAGTTACACTACAATAGCAGAGTATCGATGACAATTTTCAAACAAAATAGAGGTGCAAATGAAAGTTGGTTTATTAAGAGCGCTATTTCGCAGTGACAGTTTGGATACGTTCAGGAGACACTTTTTACAGTTTTTTTAATAAAGACTCTTGACAAAAGTGAAAGAAATTTGCATATTTATCTGTTGTCGACTTTATTTTGCAACATTTATTGCCAAATTTTTTTTGTTTTTGTTTTTGGAAATGTTTGTAGAAAAAAAAAACCAGATACGTAACAAGCAAGTCATATAAAGAAAAATGACGATCAAGTAAAGACATAAAGATTTTTGACAGAACAAGATTGTCTTCGGTCATAATTTTTTTTTGTCTCACATTCATATCCAGCGATTTATTTGACACCATTCATCGTTTTTTACAGTCATCTTTAATCGTCTAAATGATTATAAACTTTTTCTTATTTAATACATTAAACAACAACAACAACATAAAATTTTTTACAAACGTGATACTTCTCCGCTACTTGAAAATGTTCCGGAACATCTTTTTAATATAATATTTTTGCAGCGTAGCTTAAACAGTAAAACAGTTATAAATTTATTACAATAATAAAACAATAACGTCAGCAGATCAAACTACTTAATTTTTTTCTATTGTTTTTCAAGCGAAAAAAACCAATTTTTTTTTAAACTTAGTTTATCATTTTTTTTGAACTGTTTTAGTTGCTTATCTTGTACAACAAATTATTGTCACTGCATTGTGGAACAGCAGCTTTATTTCCATGTCTCAGCAGTTTCTATCTCTTAAAAAAGTTCTCCACAGAACTTTCTTATTCTTCTGCAGTCCTATTGGTATAAACAAACCCAAAATAATACATCACAAAGACGTTACCAAATTTATCGCAAATAAAGATTTATACAATCTGCCAAAATAGTTCTTTGAAAACCATCTGTAATTCAGTTTTAGCACATCAAATTACCTCCAAAAAATAGAGTTCAATTAGTTAGGCATATCAAACTCGCTTTTATAATTTTTGAAAATACTCTATTTTGCTGTAATAGTAACAGGTATTCATACAGTAATGTAAAAAGCAGTAATATCGAGGTCAAATTTTTGAAAAAATATATATTGATTGATCAACTTGACTCAAGATTTGGCTAAAACTTCAAAAGTTCTTCCAAATTCAGAGCTTTGAAGAACCAACAAAAATTGAAATTATGCCATACTGCAATTTACCGTCCCAAAGTTGTTTTGTGCCATATCCGCCGACTACACAGCCGGCAACAGTAAGGCAAAATTCCCAAACATCGAATGAATCATATGCGAAGGAACAACTGCATACACTCTCCCGAAGCCATTCGTCTCCAAATATATCGTCAAGTAGGTGCTCAAAACTTTCTCAGACTACGGAAGTGGCTTTTTAATTTCATTGTTGCTGTTTATGAATATCAACCTCGAAAGAATTTTTCTAGCAAAAAATAAACTTGGTCGGATGTACAATCCAGGAAGACCACTGGCAATGGCAGATCGTCAAAAAATATTGCATCTATACGAAAAAGGCCATAAGATCAGTCATATTGCAAGAATAATTGGTGTTACTCACAGCTGTGTGTCCAAAATAATGACAAGGTTCATTCCTGTGATGTTTACACTCTAAAAGTAGAAATCTTTTTGAAAATACAATTTTCTAAAACAATTGTAACAACTGAAAAAAGTTCGGTTTACCACTCAAATGGACTGATTTGCTCAAGCTAGCTCTCTTGGCATTTACTTCATTAAGTAGTTAAAGACGTTTTGCTTCTGACAAATCAACAATAACTACAAAGACTAAAACTTAAAACAGAAGGAAAGTTTGCTTCTCTAAATTACTTCAGATACTGCCTTGTGAAATTTCATTATTTTGCTACATTTTGTGCTAACTTTTTAAATTCGATAAGCTGAATATTTTGGAAAAAGTGGTTGTTATTTTAGATATCGGCGAACAGGTTCTATGCACCCGCGTTCCACCAACAATGGTAGACAACGACTTTCAGATACATATCTTTCTCTTTTGGATTCAGAAGCAGAGAGAAAGCTCTCATGCGGTACAGAAAATCCGAGTTCTTGTCTTGTAGGCGGTGAAGTATCTGTAAATTCATCCTCATATCTTCCCAGGCCTTTCGGAGTTAAGTCATACTCGATAAGCAGGTAAAATAATTATAAAAAACCGTTAAAGTAGGTCTTCCACATATAATTACAATTCTTACTAAGTGTTTTTGAAATTATGTTGCAGTTAAAAATAATTATTTAAAAAATTTTTAGTATTCTGTACGAAAGCTGAAAATTGTAAGAAGAAGAGATCTTTATCAGGCTACTTCAGTACTGATTAGCTGACATCAGGTTCGCGTGGATTCTTTTTTCATCTCTTTGCTCAGAAATCTGTGGTTCTGCTTCAGCGAAAGAACCATTCAAGTATGCAAAAATAGCAACAAAAAACAACGAACTGGTAAATCACCTACATGTCAGGCCAGTAATGTTGACTATGCTTATTCCAGCTTTGACTACAGAGTCCAGTAGAAATAATTTTGTGTTACCTTAACAAATCTTCATTATCATAGGTATAACACTTTTGACTATTGCTGTTACTACTACAGCTCAATGAACGCTCTAGGAAAATATTATTATGTAGGTTTAGAGTTTTTTAATAGCAGACACTCAAGTGCAACTTTGTAGTTAAACAAGTAAATATGTGAATGACCTAATTTAATTTAGAATTGCTTGGCATTTCTTTCTTTTATTTGTCTCTGAAAGCTTGAGACGAGCACTAGCTCTTTGTTGGCTGCATAAAATTTCACAGTGTGTGACGTCAGTTCAAATTAAAATTTACCAAATAGCGAAAAAAATCAGTTGAAAGCATGATATAAGAAAAAACATTTCTCCAGGGTTAGGTAATCCCTGACTGCAGCTTTCAGACCCAAGACTGTTTGCTTGCACAATTGTTAAGTTGTGGGTATCAAATTTCAGTGCTTCATCTAATTCCCTCACTTGTTTCAGCTGTGTAACTAAAAGAGTTAACGGACAGCGCAATACTACTGAAAAGATTCCAGTCAAAAAAGCAGTGTTTATCGTAATTTTTAACGTTCAACAATCTACTTCAAAAAATGAAGAAATTTGTAAGGAAATTTCGGTGAGGCTTCAAGGGTCTGACGCTAACAGAAAATACAAGCAAATATCGGCGCTCACAATATGCGTTGTATAAAATAGTGCATTGAATAAGTTACATATCCTGATTATGTTGAAAAATTTAGCTGTTTTGTAAAAAATAAACAGAAAAACACAAAATGGTTTAAATTTTTTGTCGCTTTTTTACTGACGAATAGTTTTAGGGAAAGCAAGTTGGAAGAAACTACTGCTTCGAAATGTTATTCATTTTTGACAAAAGTACTGTCAGTAAAAATCAATTCTCAATGAAATTGTAAAGTGACCAAAGTCATAAAGAGACTCCAAAGAAGTTACTATTAGTCCGTTGCATTTCTCATTTTAATGACCGAATGTTTTGCAAGAGTCTAATACAGTTGATAAATTAAAACTTTCCATAATCTACTATAGAAATATTTAATTTTGCGAGCCGCTTATTGTTGTAGTAATTAATAGTAAAGATTCAGAAGTTTTGGACTCGTGTTATCAACTCATGATTTCAAAGTTCTCTGCAAAACTTTGTCAATATGACGTTGCCACAAACTGTTACAGAAACTCTCCTCCTTGTTTTTACAAATGGGTAAATCGAAAACATCTTTGATGCAGGTTTCCAACAAAATTGATGAGACTCGTAAATATTCTTAAGTAATCCTCGGGTCTGATAAATCACTGTGTTACTTGAATCAAAGCTAAGTCTTCTATGATCTTTGTCTATCACTTGCGCACTAGCATTTGCTGAAAACGTAACCAAATTAATGGCAGCTTCTTAAAAGCAATACCGATACAGTTCAAGCAGTTTGCAGCATATTTTGACTGAAGTTCATAATCAGTAAAAAAAAGTCTTCCATAAAATTTACGAGACTCTATAGTGAAGTGGGAGGCAAACATCGTGATATCATGGTGTAAATGCTACTAATTTTTTCTCAGTTTCGCTGCTTTTTGTGTATTTTTCTGGTTATGCAGTATTATAAACGATGTAAAGGTCAATAAGACAAGAATTTTTTTATGGCAGTGACTATCTTTTATTCTTTCTATCGCAGCTTGCTGTCGACAGTCTAATCGTGGCGACTACAACATTTAGCCAAAAAAAAAAGTGAAAAATTGGTATCAAAGAAAGCAATATTTATAAGCATAAAAGGTGACTGTCAGAAACAGGTCAATTTAAAGTTTAACATGAACGTCTAA